ACATCTTCAAGCAATCACCCTTCAACCCAACCCTAAACCTTAAACCTAAAGCTCTCTTAAGTCACTGAACTCACAGGGGCTCTGACAGTCCTCTCACACCTTTGACATTTCTGGGGCACGATCATCTCGGTAGAATCCCAGAGGTTAACTCTTCGTCCCCAAGGAAACTGGACAAGTAAGAGTTGAGTTGCGGTAATGTAAGGGCGTTAATAGTTAGAATAGGGATTGGTGGGTTCCTTATGATAGTCATAGTTATACTATAATATACCCCAAACCCTACTATTTTTATTAAGGCCCCTACATTATGTTGTTGGCAGCACATGCACCTCCGTAGTTTTATTGGTATTCACGGCTCGCTGGACCAGGGCACGCTTAAGCGTCATCTACAGGAACGCCACAACAGAAAGCCTCGAGCAGTCCACATGGATGCTATTCCCATCGCAACATCCATACTCCAGTTAGCTATCCGAAGCAATAGTAGCATTTCCCTTATATTATCTCCAAATAGACTACAGGCACCCTGTGTTCATAATCTAGGCCGCCTCTATAGCACAAGGCCGTCATTATTTGTCAGAGGGCATAGCTTAAATCATGGCGAAACCGAAAGCCTGCAACCCTAAACTCCTATAAGCCAGGAACCAGATGTTCGCCTCCATTCGGGAGAACATCGACTCCCAAATGTGGATCACCCGGGTGTCGATCATGAACATCCTCTGCCAGATGCTTGCCTTCTAAAATAAACTTGTAAGGCCTTACCTTGAGCTACCGAAACTATTCGGACTTGTAGTAAAAACCTACAACAAAGAAGGTTATGGTAGTTTAAGGTAGACCCTAAACAAAACCTGAACCCTTAACCCTAAACCTTAAACCCTGAACCTTACACCCTGAACCCTAAACCCGGAACTCCTACAGCCATCAACTCTCGTTCTTGTTTCTGGGGTTGCTGAGAGCAGCCCGGATCCCCCGTAACGCCCTGCAAGGGGTCTTATGAGACTTGAAGAACCTGTCGACATCTGTCGACTTGAATCTAGGGCTTGAAAGGGTCATGTTGGGTTAGGGTCTAGCGTAGATTTGGGGTGTTGGAACCACCTCATCACCAGATCACGGAGACTCGCGCCGCAGCTTCAAATTCCGGCCCTAAGCTCCTACTCAAAGCCCTAAACGACACCCTGAGGATCCTTCTGATGTACCATGTCGTGGCTTGCAGCTACTGGGGGCGCCTGGTTTGCACGGGGGTAGGAGGGAGCTCAATCAAGGGCATCCGGGCTTTGAGGTTTAGGATTTTGGTGCTATTAGGATTAACAACTGCCGGGGCCGGATTAAACATCGATTCTTGGGGCTTGTGTATGTGTTTGGGCTTTGGGTTTTGGACAGGCCTCTATTTGTGTGTCAGACAGTTGGTCGGTCCAGAGAATCGGCCTTAAGGGCGGGCTTACAACTCTGACGTTCTTTTCCGCTGGGAGCTTGGGTTTCGGGGAGAATGAATAGAATTCAAGGTTAGTGAGGGTTCATGTAGTAGTCTTAAGTACTAGAAAGGCATTCGCATAGGCAGGGAGTTGATTGGAGCTCATAAGGCTTTATGCCGTGCCAAGGATGGGCCCCTTGGTGCTGGGGAGCTATTCTGTGTGGCTTCGTGCATAACCCGTACCTGGATCCCAAGGGGGTATGTAGAGCAATAGCCTCAGCCTTTGAATTTAAGGTGCTGGGCAATTACACTTAGTTTACCTCTTTGGGTTTAGGCAGAGCTTGAGATGTCAACTCCATCGCAGCCCCTTGCACTGGGGATCCCAACCTCCTAAGGCTCATTCTCAGCATCATCAAGCTATCCCAAACGCCCTAAACCGAGGTGGCCCAGTGTTCTTGAATGCTATCCCCGAGTACCGGTTAGGGTTTCGAGTTTGGGGTCCGGGGCCTGAGGTTCAGGGTAACACTAAACCCGAAAGCCCCAACCCCATTAAACCCTAAGCCCTCAACAAGCCCTAAAACCCCTAAAACCCAAACCCTTGCTGGGGTCTAGCGCGGTTGAGGCTAGGAGTTTGAATGCCGCGAGAGCCTGAACCCCTGAATCCTCTCCTGGAAGCCTTCTGGGAGCCCGATCCTGAAGAGTTTAGGGCTCATAGGGTTTAGGGCTCACAGGGTTTAGGGTCCAGGGTTTAGGAATCAGGGTTTAGGGTTTAGGGTTCAATTATAGGGTTTCGGGTTCAGGGTTTAGGGCTTAACGGGCTTGTAGGGTTTAGGGTTCGCATAAAACATTGCGAAACACCTAACCTTTTGGCCCTCGACCAAGTGCAAGCCTGTCAAAAGGTTTGTATTGCAGTAACCAAAGCGGTCGCCGCAAGGCCATCAAGGAACCCTCGAAGACAACCCGTCTTAGAATCCCTACAGCCCTACAGGGCTCTCAACCGAAACCCTTATCGAAACCCCTGGAACCATACCCCGAAACCACACACCTTTCATTGCTGAACGCTGCACTCCGAATCCTTCTCTCCTCAATCCTACACACCACACCTTTTGGGCCCAGACTCCCACCCCACAACTGATGAAAATAACTTCTTGAGCCGTCTTATGCAAAGATCTGTCTCATGTTTCAGGTATACTCCTTCCTGCAATCTGTCTACAATGATTTCATGTGGGGGGTTTTGCTTGACTGCCAAGGCTTGGACGAATTAACGTGGACTCTGCCAACTGGATCACGGAGTACAGCCCGGTTCCCCAGTCCTCAGGTATATATTGTTTGGTTTACGGGCCAAGCCCTGAAACCTAAACCCGAATGTTAAGGATTCAGGGAAATTCTTACACCCCACGGGGTTTGAACCCCAAAGCCCGAAACCGTGGTGGGCAGCTCCTTCGGAAGTCCAACTACCGAAACGACGCCACACCCGGAGAGCCCAAAGCATCTCAAGGAACACTTCGTCATGACGAGAGTGACGATGATGACGATGCTGCTGATCATGAGGAGGAGAGAGGAGGAGGAGGAGAAGGAGAAGGAGAAGGAGAAGGAGAAGGAGAAGGAGAAGGAGAAGGAGAAGGGGAAGGAGAAGGGGAAGGGGAAGGGGAAGGGGAAGGGGAAGGCGAAGGAGAAGGAGAAGGAGGAGAAACATATTTGTAGGCATCTTCCGGCCATTTCGGCACGGGGCTACGATTTCAGCTGTTGGGAAAAGGTTCACAAAACGCCTGAGATAATTGGAGTATGGCCTGGAGGCAGAAACCTTAAACCCTAAACCCTAAGACGACCCTAAGACCCTCAAGCCCTAAACAAAAACCCTAAAACCCTAAACCCCAAGCCAAACCCACCTTCTTAAGCCTTCTGGGCCAAGGCCTTGAGGATCGCACATTCGGCTACCAGTACACCACCACGCTGCACTGGGCCGTGTGCCAGCTAGGCAGATTTCGGGCTTAGCTGTAGCCGAAGCAGCGCACCTATTCTAGATTCCCTACTGTGGTTCTATATATCTAATTCCTTGGACAGGTAGGCTTGTTCGGGCCACAGGTAGGATTTGCTTCTTTAGGGGGTTTTGAAACTGGTCTGTCTTGTAGGGTGTTGTACGTCAGCCGGGCAGCTGCTTGAGGGTTTGTTGTTCAACGTTTTCTTTTTATCACTTAATAGCTGAATGAGTACACCTTGCATTTTTTGGGCTAATATGACCCTTTGCAGAACTTTTTCGCCCCGATGTACTCAGCAGTCAAGATTAGGCATCAGAGGGTGTTCTAGATGGTTTAGGGTCTAAGCCGGCCAGGGGGAGGTTTGGGGGTTCAGGGCTCAGGGCTGGAGCAGTGAAGGGTTTAGGGTTTATGTTTAGGGGTTTAGGGTGTAGGGTTTGAGTACGATTTCGCTTCGGAATGTTTTGGGTCTAGAGCTGGGTAGTCTGAGGTAGTCAAGGGGCGTGAGACCGCAACTGTTTCGGATGAAGGTTCTATCTTCAGGTGTCCGCGTGAATAGGAGTTCTAAGCACAGATGAGCATGATCACCTGTTTAAACTAAACGAGACCCGGAGTCTGAGTGGTGTGATCTCCATTCTCTTCTTCGTGGATACCGATTTGGTAGTCCATACATTGTCGCTGTGTTTAGCAAGTCAAGTTCCACGCAGAGCCCCAAAACCCAAAACCTAAACACCACACCACAACGGAGGTTTCGATTTCTGCTAACCCTTACCGAAGCATCACTGCAACAACCTAATCCGAGGACCTAGCCTCTGCAACTAAGATACTATCTCGAGAACGCCCTGTATAATCTAGGGGTCGTGGGTCGGGATATTGGGATTCGAGATACTGTTCTATTGGGGTTCCTGAATATACTTATAGCACAATATGCGCTAAAGCCCTGTTCTAGATATCCAGGCCCCTGCGATGCAAACTCCCAAAGAAAAGCTCCCAGCAGAAGTCTTCCGCAGGCAGCATCACAAAAAGTTTCTGCATCGGAAAACCTCATTGCCCTTACCCTAAAGCCTTGACCCCTCTCGTCCCTAATCCTCATAACAACATTTGCAGTACCTCTACTAGTTTCCCCAAGAGGAATTACTACTGCTGTTTCTTAGGGCTACATGTACGAAACTCATATGTACCCTAGCCCCTCCTCATGATCAACGCCGATATACTATGGTAATGCTACTTGAGTTTCAGGCTGGCTTGTCAAGCTAATTCTTTGATTCGTACACCCGAATTTGAGTTTGACCGCCAAACTCTAAACCCTCAACCCAAACCTATACAGAACATGGTTGCCTTGTGAGGCCTCGGCTCCAACATCATTGAAGCCACAAACTTCGCGGAGCCTCGAGAAGCGTTGGGTTCTTAACCTTGAACTACCCTCAACCCTACTTGTTCCCAGGGTCACCACAAATTCCCAAAAAAGAGGTTCTCATACTAAGAACCCTTTAAAACCATGATAAGACATGTTATTTATGTTAGTGGAGGCTAGTTTCTTGATAAACAAGGCGTTTTGGTTTAGGGCTGTTTTTTTGGGTGGTTTAGGGTTTTGGGTGTTCAGAGTTTCGGATCCGAGTTCGCGGTTTTGGGGTTTCAGGTTTAGCATTTAGGGGTTTAGGGGTCGCGGATTTCAGGGTTAGGGGCCGGGCAAAGAGCGAGCAGATCTGGGTCATCAGCTTTGGCGGCCGGCCGCTCCACCCGCTTGCAGCGTCCAGGGACAGTAATTACAATAAAGCCGTAGTAGTCATAACAGTAGTAGTGCTACTATTGACAGCGGTAGCAAGAATTACAACAACAATAACAACACACACCAAGAATATCAAAACAATCGCAACAGCACAACAACAGCAACAACGACTTACGACTACTACTATTAAACATGAGAATAGCAAAAAAAAATATGATAACAGGACCACTAACAGTGATACTAACAATGATAATAAGAAAAGAAAAATAAGCATCATCATCAGGATAGTAATAACTAGAAAGATGATACTAACAACAACACTCATATTGAGAATAAGATATAAGGCAATCATAATAATAAGAACAATAGCCAGAAGCTTTTGTAGAAGCAATAGTAGCAGTAGCATTAACATCAATAAGCACGAACAGAACATGAGAATTACAGTAATAATAGTTATAACAGTACAAGCATCGAAAGATGAAGTACAGTATCAATGCAAGAATATCAAAGTTTAGACTCAACAGCACCGTTTGTTCCCATGTGCGACTTTTACCGACAATGAAACTAGCAACACCAACACTCATAACAGCAACAGCAATAATATTGCTGGAAGGAGTGTTAATATCACGTCATAACCATAGTCATAGTTACAATAACAAGAATCATACCAGTAGTAATCACACGAACAGTTTAAGGATATGCTTTCACTTATGCTTTCCTCTTGATGGGAGCTTGTGGGAAGTTCCCGCGCCAGAGCTCAGAAGATCGCTAGGAGCGGGTCTTCTGCATCGTCGTTGTGCTGATAGCGTTGGTCACTTTCTCGCCACTTTGCCGACAGTGGTGTCGAAACACCCAGAGCAGGTTCTGGTTTCAGTTTGTGGTAACAATCAGGTTCAGTGTGCGACTACTAAATACTACCAATGTTGACAATCACCGCCACAATAGCTTGGATTTGCGGCTGGGAGGCCTAGGGTGTGGAGATTCGTGATGAGGTTGCTTGAGACTTTTGGAGTTCTGGAAAGACTGCCGGATGATCCGAGACCACTCCAAAGGCGTGCCAGTGGGAGTAATATGGGTGAGGGGCTTGCACATTTACCTCGCACACTTAACTCATGACGACCGCCGAGGTCCTTGGTCAGTTTAATGACGTCGCAGCTGACGAGCTTGCACAACGTCCAAGAGGAGGAGCAGCAACAGTTTCGACGCTCGGATTGCTGTTGGCTTGTCGACACAGGCTAGCGATGGTGCCGAGCAAGCCAAACAATCGTCCAAGCTAATCCTTGAACACTCTGTCTTACAGAAATGTCCCTGGCACTTCCTTGCAAGGGTCGAGCTCTGAATAGGTGAACAGGGTTTGCAGCTTTTAGGGCTTAGTGCAGACCTCCAGATCCCACGAAGAAAGCACAACAACTCCATGAAGCCAAGCGCCTCTGACACCGGAGGCACGAGAGCCTTGCCCCTTCAACCGTGTCTACAAAGACATTCAATGTTTAGGGTTTACCGTATAGGCATTATTCACGGTTCTGCATTTCCCAAAGTGAACTGAACCGTAAGTCTTGCGAGAGCATCACACCCCATAAGCCTGAAAAACACTACAGCTGAAAAGCTCTAAATCCCTTCATGCCGAAAACCTTGAATCCCTGAAGCTCTCCATGGTTTGCGAAGCCGACACTAGGCTTGCTGCGCAGCTTCCTCCTGCGGAACCACATCGACCGGTCGTTGTCACAACGGGCACTCTGTCTTACAGTAGACCCCGCTTGGCCTGACTCGCGGTAACTGCCGGCCTAAGCTCTAAACTAGTATGAGGGCTTAGGGTTTAGGGTTCTTCGAGCTTCAGACCCTGCTTTCCGGCACTTTGCTTTTCACTTCGAGATGGGAATCCTCAGGGTTCCCGCGGTCAGGGTTTCCGTATGAACAAGACCTTGAACTGCCAAGACCTACTTTTGTTTGGGGATGTAGGTGAGAACATGGGTAAGCGGAGGCTTGAGGATTTAGGGCTGGTTCATGCTGAAGGTTGTTTTTGTCGTTTTTTCTCATCCGAGGGGGAGATGTGGGTTTAATGTTTCCTGGCCTGTGTGCTTTCAGTTCTCTTAGCCGGGCTCGTGGTCGAGTGCCTGCTGATGTCATTGAAAATTTTACAGCAGCGTTTGGTTTAGGGTTTGGGGTTGAGGGTGTAGGATCCAAGGACGAGGGGTTGATACTAGATGCTGAGCTGCACCTTGATATACAAACATCAGTCGAACTTCGCCAATCGAAGAACTTTAAACCTTGGCCTTACAACACTGGTCCATCTTCGAAAGTTTGAACTTTCTCCGGGCCGGTTCTTGAACAAAAGAACCATAAAATTGTGGGAACCTGGGACAGTCAACCGTTTGCAGCTCCGAGCTCGCAGGGTTTGGGGTTGAGGGTTCAGGGCTTTAGGCTTTAATGTAGGTGTTAGCGTTACTTTGCAGTTTTAAGGCTTCGGGTTTTCTGCTTTTGTTGCAGGTCACCAAATTCCTGCAGCACAGCTACACCATCCAGCGCGAAGTTATTTCAGACTCGCAGGCAGGCCACGGAATAGGGATTCAGGGCCTCAGTACTGCGGTCCGGGGCACAGGGTTTAGGGTAGGGTTGAGTTGGCTCTTCCCCGGTTTGCTTTTGGCTGGGATCCTCCTTGGGAAGTCTTGCAACGTAAGGGTTGGCTTCGGCGTGTGAGACTTGGCACTTGACGCAGCTTTGCGCTGGATGCCGTTTGCACCACCTTACCTAAACCCCCCAAAGTAGCAAGTAACAAAAACCTTGGCCCAGTAGGGTTTAGGATGCATGCCGCGGCCTTGAACCCCGAGATCAGGTGCCCTTGCTGGCTCATCTCTCCAAGAATTTGCAGGGCGAGCTGCAATATGCGCGGCACACTTGGCAGCAGAAAAGCTCGATTCAGAAGCTAACGAAACCCAACTGCCGACTTTCTCAAGAGGCCCGAGCTAAACAAGCATGCAATACAATGCAACAGAGTATATCGTGGTATGGTAGAGTTATGAAATCGGACCAGCCAATCATTGAGGTGGCCCAAAACAATTAATTTCAGCAAGAATTTACTTTTTGGATATCCTTCGGAGCTTTTTTCTCCTCGAAATCATTCTCTTTTTTATCCTCCTCATTATCCTCCGGTTCATCCTCCCTGTTTTTTCATCGGAGTTATCATCCTTTTTAATCTGGACCTCTACTTTACCTACCTCCTAGCATTTTTGTTGGTTTTCACTAAGTCTTACTGAAAATGAGCAAGAATGGTAGAGTACGGAACAGTCAGTAATTAAACGCATTCAAGACATGAACATGTCATATCCATATATATGTATATATATATGCACATACACATGCGTCTGTGCACAGAGTAGGGAGCAGAAGAGTATATTTTGTTTTACTTAGCAGAACGACATGCTGCAGCATAGTATCTTGTAGTGCAGTGCGGCATCATATCTCAGAGCTGCAAAGATTGTGGCGAATCAAGCCTGTAAGGGTTAGGATGGCCTTCAAAGTGTGCGATTCCGGATCGGGTGCGGCTCGAATTCGGGGATGTTGCTTTTGAAACCTATTCAGTCTTTCAACTACTACCGAATTAATAAGGAACCCGAATGCAGCTTAGCACGACTAGTCTCCAATTTGACCCATAGAAGGAGCTGACATCCTTACGCCCGGCCCCTAAACCCTACATCAACCCCCAAACCCCTAGACACCTGAATCCCAAACATCGAACCCCTAAACCCTAAATCAAACGTCATCACAATCAGCAAACGATGCCTGGATGTTAGTCAAACAATTATCCGTTTGGGTTTATGGTAATATAGTAATAGAGGTGAATGCAATCACAAATTCATGTGGCTTACTCTTTCGACCAGCATACAACCGTTTTTCAAAAATATTGCATGTTTCAACCCCCTATCTTGCGATGTGTCGTAACCTTGCACCGTCATGCGGTCGGTGCTCGGTGGAATATGGGGCATAAACTGATTGAAAGGTGCTCTGTCCTGGCAATTTTGAGGGACGGTTCAGGGTGCGGCATTCAGGCTGCGGGGGTTACTTTGTGAGCTGGTCATGGTTCTGAGTATTTCTGTTTGAACTGGGTCAAAGGCTGGAAGCCGACAGGGTTCCGAGAGATTGAAGGTACCCAAACCCTAAACTCTGAACCAGCAACCTTCAACCCGAAACGCTAAAGCCTAACCCTAAACCGGACATCCTCAAGGTACCAGAAGAGCTTGAGTAGCATGGCCTTTGTGGAGGCACTGGAAGGCTCGCCCTGACACAGGAGGTCTTCGAACACGAAACCGCAGGGTTCGGGATCTTAGGCCCCCGACAATGGAGGTCGGAAGAATATAGGTACTATAGGGGTCTGAGTAATTACCAATACTACTACTTTTTTTTTGGGAGGGGGGGTCCTTATTATGGCTATAGTGTTATTTGCACCTAGAACCATTCTACTTATCCAGGCCCATTTCATTAGTTCACTGAATTAGGGCCCGTTCTAGGAACCCCAAAGTTGGCGACACCCGGTTAAGAAGGACTTTGAAGTTTTATTCCAAGACCCTAGTAGGGTTTAGGGTTTGGGGTATTAGGACTGTTAGGGCCGCCGCTATATTGTTTAATCATGAGATCTGGCTTCAGTACAACTACGTGTTGATTCGTGGTGCGGCCCCCTGTGTTTGAACTCGAGCAGGGGCTCAAGACAGAGCGCGTTTGAATGAAACATGAAGAGTCGTGGCTCCGGACACCCATCCCCTGACATAGCCGACAACCTGAACCCGGCAAGCACTGAAGCTTCCAGATCTTTTACTCATGGAGTTTTTGTACCACCCAGCTCGCTGGCTTTACCTCAACAGTGTGTTATACTGTAAAGGTGCCCACAACTTCCGGAAACCTTTAAGCCCACCCCAAAGGCAAGGCCGAACATTGTACCTTTTGCGTAGCAGACTCCATATTCTACCTGTAGTCTCCATTGTAATTGATTTTTTGGGGGGTTACCTTATTATAGGATCCTGTTGATAGAAACGGTCCGAACAAAGGACATACAATAAAAAAACTATAGGTACTTACTACGGTTCCCAGACGCTCCCCAAATTCCATGAGCCCCAAACCAACATGCCAAAACAATAAACCGCCACGCTAAGCCAGGACAGAATTTGCAGAACACGCAAACCCTGCACGACATGGCGGTTCAGGCGGAAGCCTTCGATTATCCAGCCCGTGGGTTAATGTTAACGTTAGTGTAGGATGCATTTGCGAAATGCGCCTGGGTCACTTTCTATCGAGTCTTGCGGTCTCGATTGTCAGTACTTTCGTTTCATACTTGCCTTCCAGTTATGAGGTGTTCTCATCTGCCATCACTCTGCACTACTCTGGTTTACAAGGTCAGGCTTGTCATGGCGGGACCTTGGGTCCGGAGCGACTCCTATGTTAGGATAGCTAGTTATCAGGGTTAGCACATCGGGCACTATAGATGCAGATAGAAGCCCTCTTATGGACTGATACTGTCTGGGGGGGCAGTACCCTCTCATGGCCTGTCAGGTCGGCTTGCGTCTTGCAGTTCGGATTTTTACTGGCCTCGAGCTTAGGGTTTAGGGCAAACCTTGGCAACCGTTTTAAGCACTTATAGAAAGAAGTCATAACAAGGAACCCTAAGAAGATAGGTTACTTGGGATTTCTGCAAAAAGCAGAAAACTGTTGCACGCTACAAGCATCCCAACCAAAATCTTGATGCAGACCTGACGGTAGACGCTCATCCTGCGCAAACTTCCAAGCTCCGGAACTCCAAGCCTTGCTTCTGTAAACCCTAGACTTTTAGCCCACTAGGCCCAAACCACAAATCCTTAAACTCTGAACGCCAAGCTCTCCGAACCGATCCCTAAATGCCAAACCCTTAAAGCCCTGAACCCTTAAACTCTGAACCCTAAAGGCCCCTGGTTTAGGGCGAAGGCCAAGCCCAAATCTTGGCTCAGATCCTGACATTTCAAGAGGGCTCTCCACCCAGTCCTAGCATCCCGCAAGAGACGGAAGTGCCTGAGAGGTTTAGCGTTGAGGGTCTCCAGGGTTTGGGGCTTGGGGCTGAGATGCGATGCCCTTGCACCCAAAGCACTTCACGCCTCGTAAGCTCTAAGCCCATAGACCCCCACAGCCCCTAAACCGCAACTCCAAACCCGTCAGCCCAACAGTTGCAAAAGCATGCAGGCCACGGCCCAGAGCGTGCTGTTGAAGGGCGAGGTCGTGCTTCTTTTCCGCAGCATGACAGGTCTCCATTCCTCACTTACCCTACAAACAGCGGTCTGGCTGTAGCAGCGCTAAGGGAGTTGTAGCTGGTTGAGCAAAGTGTTAACCGCTCTAGTCAGATTTCCTAACCTAACCCTAAACCCAAACCACCAATATTCACATTTCCTCTCCTGACATCCCTGCTTGGATTTGCACACCCTCAACCCCAAAGCACTTTGAAGCCCTAAACCCCAAAGCACGTTGAAGCCCTAAAACCTTAACCGGAGCCCGAAAACCTTAACCCGAAACACTCAAACCCTAACCCGAACTCCTGAAGCCTATGCCCTAAACCCGAAATAAGAACCTCAAAGTCATGAACCCCAAACCCCCAAACCCTTGAGGTGCTCAGCATCCCAAGCAACTCCACTTTGCCACGAGGTTCTATGCGGGAAACCTAGCCGAGCATTGCTTCATCGCCGCTTCTGGCGAGTTGGAGTACTGCCAAGGAAAAGAGTCTCATGATTGCAACAGTTCAGGGTTTAATACAGGGCCCTCATAATTAGACTAGGGTTTTGGGCTGCATGTTATTTTGGCCATAATAGGAATTAAAATACGAAGTGGTACTATTCGGAAGATTTCCGACCTTTTTCAGTTATGAACCCTTTTCAGGTTAGGATTAAGGATCTCTATAGCGCAGAATGTGGGGAGATCAGAGGTAACGGCAGAGGGGCCAACAGCTCAGTCTTTGGAAAGGCCTAGGCCCAAACCAATGTCCACAAACGGGCCTTTCTCATAATAGTTAACCCTTGATACCTTGGAGGGGGCTTTGATCCCAACTGAACAGCAAAGTATGTACAAGAATTACCTAGCCCTACGATGAAACATAACTAATAGTCGGTTCCGTATCGCAAGGACCCCAGCGCCCAAACCCTCATTGAAAGCCCAAACTCTCAACTCCGGAAGCCTGAATTATTACTAGTATCATTCCCTAGGGTCCCTTACTGTAGGTATACTATAATTAATATACCCCCCAACCCCTATTCAACTTGTTAAAGCCCCGTAACATAAACCGAAGCCCTAGATCCTAAACCCTAGAATCCTAGCCATGGGCATGCCCGAAGCCATGCAGCTTGCCGCCACAAAATGCCTGGGATTTGATCCGTTCGTTCCCACGGCCCGGCAGGAAAGTTTTCCTGCTGGGCCATTCCTTCCGGCCGATACTGAAGGGATGCAGTCATTAGGGTGTTGGCCAGCACAACTTTGAGTGCCAGTGGCTTTGACCCATGTGCGGGTGAACGTGAAGGATGCATGTGGGAGTCGGTTGGTTCCGTCTGCCAGGTGAGGGTCTTCCAGTGTATGACTGGGATAATGCACCCTTACGAGGAACCAGGACTGTCTTTCAGAACATACCCCTACCCTGAGCAGACAATATCTCTTCGGAGAGGGGACGCGGGTCATGGTGACGATGGTTGTGCTTGAACGGTTTTGCTGGATGCCTTTCTCTGGGGCACTGGGAGACTGAACTCGACTGGAGCCGATGACGACTTCGGAGGGGCTGCGAAGGCGGGAGGGATGACGCCGGTCCCATGGCTGCACACCCCGGTCACTGTCCATCCATCCATCCACCCATCCATCCATCCATGATGGGATTTGATGGGTTTCTGCTCAAGGCTTGAGATTTAGGGCCCTCATTCAAGTCGCAGCTCTGTGGGCTCGTGGGTTTTGCTAAGTATTTTGTTTAAATATGAAGGGGTTGAGTTAAGCGTCATAGAGCCATCATAAACAAAACCCATCGGTTTGCCAACCAAGTGCTGCGTCTTGAGACAATGTCTTTTTTCTCCTGTGTTTAGGATCCTTAAGACCCTTTAGTCGTTGGATCCCTCCGAGGCCACCTCATGCAGTATCTACTTTTTGTGTCAAGTGCTTAGAGGGGAGCCGTGTTCAGGCTTCACATCATTGTAGCTGCATTTTGGCGTCTAGGGCTTTAGGGGTTTGGAGGTTTTGGGGTTTGGGGGTTTTGGGTGTGAGAGTTTCTATAGGGTTTTGGGCACACAACCTGACAGGGCTCTAAACCCAGGTGTACGACGGTCGACTCCACGCAGTGGGTTGCTGAGATGTGCCTTTTCACGCCCTGGTCTTACGTCGGAGATCTCTTCACGCAGGAGCCATAGTTAGTCAGAAAGGGCTTCTGTTTGGGTGCTCCGTTAAGAATTGTAGTGATGCTTACGCATAATATTTTGGGCATGTTGGGTTTGGGGCCCTGGCTTTGCCAATAGTTTAGAGCTTAGGGTTAGGGGAGTTCGCCGGGCCCCCAAAACGAACGAGGGCATGAACTTTTCGCCGGATATCCTTCTTTACTGGGGTTAATCATCAGGTGGTTTATACGGGATATCCCTAACTATCCATGTGCTTTGCTTTCCAGCTCAGCTGGCCCCTGCTACCTAAAAACCCTGAACCCTAACCCGCTAAACCTCCAAAACGCAAACCCCTGAACACTAAACCCATCACCCCAAGCACCTACACCGTTACTCCCCAGCCTTAAGCCCTAAACCCCCAAACCCCTAGACCTCTAAACCAAAAACCTAAACCCTTGAATCTTAAATCCCAAAGTTCAGGGGTTGAGGAATTTGGGGGTTGAGGGCTTAGGGCTTGGGGGGTTAGGGCCGTAGCTGTAGTGGGCCATACTTGGGGCGCTGGTGGCACAGACAGGATGTCGGAAGGCCCCAGCCCCAAAACCCTGTTCTTTTTGTAACTTTGAAATAACCAGCACTCCTGAGTCCTCATCTTGAATCAATAGTTGTGTTTTCGCGGTTTTCTTCCTAAACTTAACGAAGCATGGCTTAGCTGGTACTGACACCAGGAGCTCAGCATTGTGGTGCCTTGGCATGCGCAGTGGGCAGATGGAGTTTTGTTGCTATGTTTGTTCCCAAAACCCTGACCTTTATGTATTAATTAAGCGTCAGACCTCAAATCTTGCGCCTTTCACATTTCGACATTTAACAGTTGGGGTTTCGGCTGAAAGCTGTATACAGTATACATACATCATGAGTCATCTGGGTATGTATCGTCGGGATTCGGACTCAGGGAGTATAGGGTGCGCAGCAGTATTCAAGCGATGCACGCATGGATGCATGGATGACGAATGTGTAGACCTGTAGGGTATTACCTAAACACCCAGTTTGGGGTAGGCTCCGGAGCCGGTACCCTTATTGTGGATACGATGATAAAAACTTCAAGATTCCAAACCCCATTCGATTGTTCGGGGCCATATCTATTTAAGTTAAGGCCCCTGTATTGTATTACGTGGCCAACCGGCTAGCTGGTTTCCTGGTGAAAAGGGTCAAAGGCACAGGTCCAGCGCTCAGCAAGACGGCCAAACCCGAATGCACATGAATCCCTGAATGAATGTAAGCCCCAAATCCTGCAGCTTGCATCCGAAATCCAAAAACTACATCCGCAGCCAAGCGCTCAAAACCCTAAACTGCAAACCCGAAACCTCTTTGGAATCCTGAACCCTTGAAGCCTGACGCCAGAAAGCCTTAAACCCTAAACTCCAAAGAACCGAGGTAGCAATGAGCATGGAAGGATTCTGCGAGTGCGCATCTCTTCTGCATCATCAGATACTGCAATGTATAGCCACAAAGGGTTGAGGGGTTAGGGGTCATTGCTTTAGAGTTTGGGAATTCTTACCCGGGGTGTAAACACAGGGACCTAAACTGCCCAGGCTCTCCAGCAGGTAACCTTCAGCGAATTCGAGGTACCCTTCCCTCCAGTAGCCCAATTTCCAGAAGGCTACGGCTGACAAGGATCATGTAGTTGCCGAAGTAACGTGTAATATGTTGTATCCTGCCAAGCATTTCTGACCATGATAGCAAGTTATCAGGAATTTACTGCCAGCCGGTGTTTCTCTGAAGTGGCTTCTGGTGTCCAGATCTACAGCTCTTTCGGTGCTATTTCTTTTACGTGGTTTGGTCATAGCGCATGCAGAATGCTGTGACAGGAAGAACTGAAGCTCCACATCGCGCTGACGAGTTTTAAGCCACTGCATACAGTGTCGTGACTCCATACACGCAGATAACCTGGCACAGAAGCCTATTTTCCTAAACCGTTTCAGCCGTAATCCAGCATCGAGACCCTCCACCCCCAGATCTTCTAAACCCTAAATCCTAAATCTTGAAAGCCCAGGTGTGCAAGAGCCCTGAGATGCAGCTGCATGCACGAAAGTTCGCGGAGGCTGGTGCTTTCGCTGCAGCGACTCCTGCCGAACATCGAAGTCAATATAGCGGCCTTACTAATTACCTATACTACTATTTTGGTGGTTCCAGATTTGTAATAGGCCCAAAACCCTATTCTAATTATCAGGCCCCTACATGAGGTGCGGGGAAAATCACTAAACTCTGAGCCCTAAGCCAAGGTTTAGGGTTTAGGGTTCCGGGTTCCCTGAAGCTTAAACCTTCTAAAGCCTAAATTTTGCTGGTCTGTTGAATTGTGGGAAGTTGCGAAGACGTTTTTGTGAGAAAGCAGCCACCTGCATTTCAGATATGTCAGGTACATAATGTGGCGCCCTGAAGCAGCATAGGGCTGGTGGTATATTAGTCAGAAATTTTCAGGAGGAGCTATTAAGGCCCCTCATTAGTACATCCCCCGCAACCCCAGACCTCCTGGACCACAAGCTAACTAGTCTTGATCGATCGAGAGCTTAGCCCGAAACGCTGAAGCTTGAACTTGCATCTTGTTGCTATGCTGGTTTCATATTAGTCTGACTATGATTGTCGGTATGGTTATTGAGGTTTCAATGACGATGGTGATGATGATGATGATGGTGATGGTGATGATGATGGTGATGGTGATGGTGATGGTGATCCTGATGATGATTCTGATGATGATTCTGATGATGATTACGATGACGATGATGATGAAGATGACGCTGACGATGGTTATGATGATGACGATCATGATGATGTTGGCATACCAGGCTGTGCAAATATGCTGCACAGCGTCCCTAGAAGCGTGTCGGGCCGAAGGCCAGTCCTGAAGCGCCTCGCAAGGCGTCGACTAGTCGCTGCGTATGGAAAGGAAAGGAAAGGAAAGCAAAGCAAAGGATGATGATGATGATGCTGTCAGCAAACAGACAAAAACAAATTATAGCGTCACTGCAGCAGTGGTACCAGCATTGACGTTCTGTTGCAGATCAAGCAAACTTAGTCTGGAAGTGTTCGGGCTTGGGTAGCCGGGGGTGGGGGGGCGCCGGGGGCAGGGGGGTGACTTCCAATCTCAAATCTTCGTGGTCGACATACTTGCACCCAAACCTGAGACCCTAAACCCTAAACCATCCTGCACCCCTTATAAACCCGTGAACCTCAAACCCCTAAACCCGAACTCCTAAACTAAAACCCCTAAACCTTATCCTAAATTTTGAGACCTAGACCCGAAATCCACGGCACAGCCCCTAAATCTTCAATCCCTAAACCCTGAAAGCATCGCCCCAAGCTCGAAATCTAGGGTTGAGAGTTTAGGATTTATAGGGTTTGGGGATTATAGGGTTTAGNNAGGGTTTAGGGTTTAGGGTCCATAGACCCTAGAGCCATGGACCCTAAATCCTGAAACTGGAGCCCGAAATCCTCAATCCCAGCATTAAAGCTCGCAGATCTACGTGGCTGACATGAAGACTGAACAGACATCCTCAGACTTATGGACGATGCCAGGAGCCAGCTGGGTCGTTTAGAGTTCCAGGGCTCGGGTTTTGGGTTTTGGACTTTTGGGTTTATGGGGTCGAGGGGAGTTCCAGGAGGGGGGGGGGGGGGGGGGGGG